CGATCAATAATTGTGACTGACAATCTTGGCAATCCAACAACTCCAATCAATTTTTTTGCACACCCCTGCGTTAGGCCAATGTGATCTACGACGGGCGTCAAATGATTGATGCTGCATTGGAAGAAAAAGTGCAGTGGTGCGAGAGAGAGTTCAAAGCTTGCTACTAGATAGTAACTGGAGATGTACAGCAGAGTCAAGAGCAGAGAATCGTCATAATGCTGGACGCAGCAGGAGGGAACGAGTGCTCTGACGAGATGCTGAGACTTAAGATATACCAAGCATTTCAAAAGGTTTTCGACCAGCTTGAAGAAGATCTTGCAGAATATGAGAGAGAATTCGTCAGCGCTGCATCAGCTAGTGACGCAGCTGGCAACATTGACGCTGCATCGTTCAGAATTCGTGGGTGGAATGAATCAGAAGAAGAGCTATTTTTCCCGTTCTTCGCAGCTGTGAGAAGAAACAATGAGCTGGTAAAAAGAGTTAATTACTGTAGGATCAACTCGCGTTAGTACCGCCCACTGTCTTTCTCTTGAAGATGAAGAAACACGTGAAATTTCATTAGCATCGTCGCTTCTTTCACGAGAAACGGAAGGATCGACTACGAGCATTTAAACGGAAATTGGACAAGCTTCAGAGTAAAGCCAGTTGCAGATTTCGTTTATCTGCTGAGCAAGAGAAAGAGCGAGTACGGAGGCTGCAAGAGCTGAGTGAGATGCAGCAGCAATGCGAACAACGGCACCAACAGGTTTCTCAGTGGCGCGAGACGAAAGAAGCCAAAGAACGGATAGAACGACAGCAACGGGAGATTGAACAATTACTAGAAACTCAGAGACAGCGTGAGGGAGAAGTGCAATGGCAACGAAGACATGATCAACAGAAGTATGCTGTCGACGAGTATAAAAAGTAGAAAATACTGCAGAAAATAGCCGAGGAGAACTGTACGATGGAAGAAGAGCAACGACGAGAACGAAAACGAGCGCTTCAGAGTGTCGCTAATGCTGAAAGAGTACAGTACCAACACGACGAAGTCCAGGTTCGTATGGGTTGTATTATTATTTTTTAGTACTTGAAGAAGTACGCAAAATCGACGAGTGAATCATCAAGAACTTGATCAAGCTCGTTTGGAAGAACAGCGATTGGTCAGGCTGAACGAGTTGAAGGAGACAAATCTCTACCTTACGCTCAGATCGTCACCAACATAATAGTACGAAATCTTGAAGACATTTTTTTTTACAGTTATCGCATATTTTTTTCTTTGTGTCACTGTAGCCAGACCCGGAACGCACTCAACAGGAGACTGCTGCCTTCCGTGCTAACGTCGAAGCTACCCAGGAAGGTCTTCCAATTACTGTACGAAGTAGGCCTTCCCGTTTTTGTCGCTAGTGTACTCATCTTTGTTACTGTAAGAGGAAACGGGATTGTTTCCGAGTCATGGATACGACTGTGAGACTCTATTCAAGAATGCAAGATTCAAACTGGGCATTGCTCTACGGTGAAGTTATTGTTACACTGTAGACCTTGGATGTCGCTGCTTACTCTTTCTTTTTTTTAGAATAGTGGGCGAAACTCGAGTGAGTATGCGCGTCAAGGACTAGCCAATGTCAAGGCTTGCAACGTAGGAGCGTACAGAAATCACGTTGCCGAACCTACCAAGCTTTGGTAATAACCTCTAAGTTAAAAAAAAAAAAATTTATTAAAAAAAAACAAATGTTTAAGCGACGAATTGTAAGGCACCTAAATCATAAAATAAGTTCGATCCAGTAGCCAGTTGCGTATTAAATTTGTGCAAACTTTTCATCGCTCGTTTTCGCAGTCCGAATTGTTCTTGCGCCGTCGTTTGGATCATATTTTCCACTTGTTGCGCTCTCAAAGCCAGCTCCGCCTTTGACAGCGCGGCATTCTGCGCTTGTATCGACTGCGACGCTACAGCTTGTCGTCTGTGCGCTCGATTCATCCACCTGACACAATTCATCTGAAGTCGACGCGTGCGTTTGTCTGCATGAGAAGAGGCTTTGACACTATGAGATCGCTCCCTTTTTAGGCTCATCGCTTGAGCAAAGCGCGTATTGTTAAAACTAAATCTTACAAGAGTCTGAAAAATAATTTAGCAATAAGTAAAATGTTACCAACCATTACCAGCAAATGCGTGTCTCGACACCAAAGTCTCCAGTCGATTGTGTCATACATTTCAGATAGTTTGTCCTCGTCATCCGGAGCTATTGTCACCTTTTGACAGTCCTCCTCTCGTGTCAAGAGATTGCGACTGGCATTGTGGCGTTGCAATTGGCAGCTCAGCACACCTGTGTCGGTGTCCAGCGCTTCCTGGCCTTTGGACAGCAGTGTGCGGGCGCGTTTCTCCCATATTGGGCCTAAAAAACTCTCTGTTCAGCGTTACGAGCCACACACGCCACTCGACAAAGCTCCTGTACGTCCATGAACTCCCAAATGTGTTGTTTGCATTCATCCACGAGCTCCAGCAGCATGCTTGTCGCTTTTCTCATCCTTTTATTGAATCCAATTTTTTTAGTAAATTTAAACTTGCAATTGTGAATTTTTGGTTCAGAAAAAGCTCTCAACATGGCTACATTCAGTCATTTGCATGATAATAGCGATCCGAATTTCGCTTGCTGCGGAGGCTGTTCCTTGTCTCAATACGAGGACGCTTACAATGGAGAATTTACGACGGGATCGCTCGTTTTATCTGGGATATTAAGCTGATAACGACCCGCAGCCGGCGTGTTTGGTGACATTCCCGTATGATCCTGCACTGAACAAACAAGTTGGTGAAAGACGTGCACTAATAAGAAAAGATCGACGTCTAGGCGCCAGCAATCCGATCGACAATTACTATGTACAACTATCTATGCCGCGAAAAATGCGGAGCTTGCCGTTAAACGAAGACTCATACGGGAAATATCAATGTACAAAACGATGGGCATACACTGGCAATCACTGTCAAAACAGCGGTAGATAAGATCTGTACATTTTCAACGAACTGACGTTCATTGTCCAGTACTTGTCGCGGTAGATTAGGTTTTACTCTAGAATTTTGCATTCTCGCTCCACTTCGCTTCGGCGGGATAATTATTCCAAAATCTCTGAACCCCCCTTTGCCTAAATCGACTTCTCTAATTTCATAAATATGGGTCTCATTTAGACCTGTCGCTACAAAATTCTGAGTTGCCAGTAAGCCGTGCAATTATTTCCACAAAAGACTGAGCCCCTAGCATCATGCTTACCATGCTGAAAAAAAGAGATTACTCTAGTGATCTTGACAATTATTGTTGGCTATCACTGTACCTTCATCTTCCACCCAGAATCACCTGCACTTCAAATAGCACGTCTACAAATGCTACACAATATATTTTGTTTAGCTTCGTGCTCGATTTCGTGGGCCGTTTCTAAAACTTAGCTCGTATCAATGCAACTGCCCGCCTGCACTAATTACCCGCTTGTACTGCCGGTTTAAACTTGTACTAAATTAACTGAAGATTAATCACCTCTCATATGAAACTCAATGAAAGCTACTTTGAATTAAAAAAATCATACTATAATGCATTGAAGTGTGCTCATTTTGTGCTGCTTCACATTTAGTCATTAGACACTCCAATCTATGCCAGTTAAGGCTAAAGCATCATGATATAACGATGCGCCTTGCTGTTGTTGTTGTTGACGGCGGTGTTTTTTATTTGATACTTTAGCGATGATTTCAGGATTCCTGAAATCATAGGGGCTATGTCATTTGTGAATAAGTAGCTTTGTCTGTTTAGCACTCAAATATTAAAACGATGCCGCCTTCGGATACCGGTAATGGATAGTGAGTGCTGTAAACGTACGGTCACCAAGTGCCCCAAGAACAAAAACAGAAACTTCTAGCTTACAACTGCGCGCCCTACTGCGCGATACTAAATGCCTGCTGTGTCCATAGTTTATTCAATATTAACAGTATTGCTGGGTCCTCGTTTGACGGATACGACAGCTTTTTCTGACGAGGAGAGGATATTGGCAAATGATATGCTACATGTAGGGGCGAACTGTAACGGGGTACGTAGCCCTAAGTGTACCCTGGTTACATGAAGTGTGACACGTCATACTTCGGTATATTTGGTACAAGGTACCAAGGTCGTCCAAAGCCAGCCATTGGTTGATGACATTGCATTTCTATAGGTGATTTATAGTTTGTATTAAACCTAAGCTTTACCTACCTACAAATAGACTCAGTTTACATTCTACCTTTAATAGTTGATAAAAAGAGGATCTGTGAACTGCCGTTCACTGAGAGTTTGTATACTCTCGGAAGCTAACTTCCTCTAGCGCAAGGTGCTGTGTGACCCCGTCACATAAACGCAGCTATGACAGTGGCTAGATTGATTATACCCCTAGTCGAGATTTCGTTACGCTCGCGCCTGTCGTGCCAAATAAGAGAAGGATAGTGTCATTTTTCACGGAATGATCTTTCGGAGAGCAACAGAAAAACCCCGCGTGACTCAAACGGCTGACGTAGACTCACAGGTCTGCCAATGTCTAACTTAGGTAAGCAGCTTCCTAGCGCCTGCTTCCCTGGGCGAAATCGCCACTGGCATGGTGGAAGGTACTCGAAAATAGGTGGGATTTGTGCCAACCTCGCTTCCATCTCGCCTATAGCCAGCGCTCCTAGAATGTGCTGAAATGTCGTCAGAGAACACCGCATGTCGTAAGTTACCCCAAATTGGAAAGTACAGCGGGCAGATCTGCTGCAGATCTGAGTATAAGTGGTGCAGCGAGCTGATTTATGAATCCAACCGAACAAAAAAGACAGTGCAGAACGTGCAAAGGTTCATGAAAGCTTTGTTACGATCGAACAAAAGCTCACATATATTTGATGTTGCACAGAGAATGCCTACTCTTCTCCGCTCTCATTTATATCGTCGCCATCGTCCCCTTCACGAAGCAGCAGCTCTCGGCGGGTCTTCTTGTGTGCACCAGCCTTCTTACCCGACCGCCACAGTACAACGCTCTTGCCCAGGGTAGCGGGTACGTTTTGGCTGCAATCGAAGTCGTCTCAAAGCATGTTTGGACGATTCCCTTATACCGCCGTCGTATCTTATTGCACAGCCAACACTTAGCGTCATCAATAGAGCAACGCTCGCAAAAGAACGTCGTAGCGAACAACTTCTTCTTACGATCCGAGCGCAGGAGCGCACAGACCTTGCACGACCGCTGTCGGCGCTTTTGAACGCCTGTAACAGTCACCGAGTCATCCGATTGCTCCACGGCATGCGTGAGCCGTAGCTGGGGACGATTTCTTTTTGGCTGCTTGGTGGCGGTGTGACCACTATACCTGCAACATCCTCCACCTTTGCCGCAGCAATTAGTTCTGCAGGACTCTAAACCACTATCCTCGTTTCATTGTTTGCGTTCCAGTAATACGTGCAGACTCCCTGTGCGAAATATACGCATTAACTAGGGCTAGATCCACGAAGCCCAAGAATAGGTCTTGTAATACTTCTTGAGCTCTGTGGACATCTGCAACGAGTACGTTTGTAGGCGGAGTTGATCATGCACGTCAACTCCGCCCATCCAATATTGGTAGTCGGTCACAGCTGCTGGACAGGGAACGGAGACTGATTCAACCCGCTTGATGTTTCTGGCAAATCGTCGTCGCTGTCATTGCGGAGCCTGTACACAAGTAGTGCACAGGTTTCCGGTCCCACCAGTAAAAATCTATCATGTTGGGGATGGCCACTGAGCGAGGGAACGTGAACGTGCCCCGAGGTATACTAGCTGGGCGTGACTTGCCCTTCTTTTTTATATTCGCATCTTATCCGAGCCGGTTGGTCATGATAGTACCAATCACATACACCTGTATATATCGCCAATAGCTCGATAGCAAGTAGAATTGACGAGTAAAAGCGGTGCGTGTCATGGGTGCCGCGTGTTGGGGTCAAGGACAGTCTTCAAATTCCGAACGGCTGCAGATGCACCGGTCTTATGATTAAATGATGCGTTTTAGCCGTCTCCAGCTCTGTACTTGCCCGTACATAGCTTGAATCTTGTAACATATGACATAAACGGTCAGACACGTTACTTAAGACGTAACTTACGACATACAGAGAACTGCAAATACATATGGCAATATGCAGGTCTTGAATCACACACCATAAGTATTTTTGATTCGTATCGATGAGACTTATTGGGCATGAACATTCTTATCGTGTTTCGTGAAGAAATGGAAGGTAGTACGCCTTCGTCGAAGGAGAACACCGCAGGTAGAGTCCACGTAGCCAGAAAGCGATCTTGCAACGTATCTGCAACCATTCGCAGCTTCCACAGTTTGTCCTGTGTACGTTTTGCCTCGTTGTCCACGAAGTACAAGTCACGCAAGATATCTTGGCATCTATTGCGTCCCATGAATCTCCCGAAATTTTTGGCGGGAACGGCTCCCTCCTCCACCATCAAACCAGTGAGCAGCAATACCGTCGGTGCGGACAAAGCATACGCGCTATTAAGAGCCCGATGACGTATAAAATCTCGTGTGTCTTGTATCCCGGTTTCGCTTTCAGCCGCCGACTGATTTGTTTTACAGTTTCCTGCCGTCGATCGTTTTGCTTCGCATGTATTCGCTCCGCCCGCCGGTTGACCTGCTGAGGGTCATACCGGTTCGTTTCTGTAGCAATCTTTACCCACAGCGCCTTAAGCATAAAGTAGAAGACGGATAGTAGCGGAGAGTGGCAAAGACCACGCAATTCAGCAACCAGATGCGCCTCATCCATATTTAGATCGGGGTAGGGGTGCGCCCCCTCCTTAAACTGGTGCGACACTGGCGTCCACTGCATTGCTCGCAACGCGTCCTCACGCAGCTGGGTTGCTTGCTTGTTTAGGGCATTGCACCCCACTTGAAGCGACTCGATGAACGCTGCGTCCATCGGAACAGCGTCGTCTTCTGATAGCTCATCGTCGTCTTCCGGTTCGTCACAATTTACGAAGCCATCGTCATCATTGTCGGCGTTTATGTCGGCGTCACTTTCGCCAGAGTTAAAGCTCTCATACTCGCTGAAGTCCTCATCGACTGAAATGAAGTTCACGTCTTTCTTCACCGAACACCGAGAGCGTAGACCACGCGTAGAAGGCGTATCAGGTACATTTACAGGTCGGGTGCCCTGAGCATTCGCAGGCCGAGCGGCAGGTACGCTGTCCGGTTGGGCAGTGGGTACAGTGTCCGTTCGAGTGTCGCTTTCCGCGCCAGACACTTCTGACTGCAGCTGCAGGTTTGACAACCCAAACGCCCGTGCAACCGCTGACTGGAAAAGCTCTAAGTCAGAGCTGCTACAGATACTGGGTGTACCAAAGAGCTCATACATGGTCCTCTGGAACAGCACGGCGCTCGTATCAATCTGCGATGCACATACATCGTCAAATGTGTCCAACGTGTTATTGGCGTAGTCGTCGGCGGCTGCAAGGGTATCGTTGACACTAGCAGCTGAATTCTCGGCGGCAACAGTCG